AAATGCCTGGTGCTGCTCCTGGAGATCCAGGAGGAGCTCAGCAGAGATGTTCAACCACAGAAGCTCCCCAGCAAGCCCAGCAGGTGCTTTGTTACAAGCTGCTGAATCATCATGCCAGGCTGGTGATGCCAGCTTTAGTCCAGTACCCCATTATTCCATCTCCAGACTCGAATCCTGTGCAGGATGTGGGTGCAAAAGAACCCAACAGGGGACTGCAGGCTCTGGGGCACATTTCCCTCCAGCTAAAAACTGGAGAGCCTGCCTGAAACACTAGGAGCTTTTAGAGAAGCGTGGAAGGAAAAGCTACCAGCACCCACACAGCTGCTCCAGGGACAATCCAGACAGAGGGGGTTAAAAGTTCATTTGCAGAAGCAGAACAAAACCTTTAGCTAATTTACACATTACAGGAAGCCAAGCCCAAAAAACCCAGCGTACACCTACAGGGCTTTTTGTGGTGGTTTGTAATTCTGCAGAATCTTATATCTTATATTAAAAACAAAAGCAGAGGAGTGAGAGGGAGGCAGAGCTGGCAAGGGCAGGCACAGAGTCCTGCAGGGCTGTCTCGCCTCTGCGGAAGCATCAGCGGCTCCTCCACCAAAACACCTGAGGGAGAGGAGAGCAAAGGGCAAACCAAAGGTGCTGCTGCTCCCCACAAGGCTCTGGCACCTCCAGCTCCAGAGCACAAACCATAGAATTGTGGAACAACACAATGGGTTGGGGTGGAAGGGACCTCAAAGCCCAACTCGTTCCAACCAGGGAAAAAGGAAAAGGGGTAAAAGAGCACAGTGTGAACCTGACCCAGGACAGGCAAGCCCCAGGCAGGATTCTCCCTGTCCTGCAAGGCAGCATGTGCCTACAGGGAGTCTCCTTCCACATCACCTCCCTTTTACCACCCATAGGAGCACCCAGATCCTTTAGGTCACTTGAACTGCAGGGCTTTGCCTGGACCCAGCACTGCCACAACCCAAAAGGAGCAGAAACAGGCACTGGGCATAAAAATGGCATTCCCAAAGGCAGCAAGGAGGCCCATTGCCTGGCCCAGCCACACCAGCTCAGACACAGCTCCCCGTTTGCTTCTGGCAGCCCATGAGAGAGGGGCATCTCAGAGGCCTCAGCGGCTGGTGGAAATTTCCAGAACGTCCTGGACAAGAATGACTTACTGGAAGCAATACATAAATCAAGGCAATGAATAGTTACCAGCCAGCAGCATAAACAGCTGCCACGGGGATGAAATCAGACCTGCTGTGCCAAGAGGCGTCCGCCTCCTTGCTGCTGCACCTTGGGGGAAAGCTGCCCAGGGAAAAGCACATTCCTAAGGGAAAGCAGCCACCCTGGCCTGCACAGGTGCCCTGCAGGCTCCTGGAGCTGTTGGGCACAGGGGCAGCGTGGTGGGCACTGCAGCAGCTCCTGCAGGGCAGCGTGGCCCTGGCACAGCGCGGAGCTGCCCATGCTGAGCAGAACAAACCCTGCTGCACTTCCAGGCACAAGACCTGCAGGAATTTCTTCTTCTCCTCCTTTGCCAGCAGTCCCTGGTTGAGCAGCTAGCCTTCTAGAACATGCCAGGCTCCATGTGCAGCCCATGCCCCAGTGAGGGTTTTGCTGGATCCCCACGAGCAGCTGCCCTGCAAAGCCCATGGAAACCAAGGCCCTGATTATCAGCAAACAATTTGTGCAGGAGATAACAATCGCTGTCATCTTGGTTAAAACACGTAAACTAGAAAACCCCGCCACAGCAAAACCAAAGGGAACCAGCCCGTGTTGGCCAGGCCACAGCTGGGAGTGATTAGAGATAATTAATTCTGCTAAACACACGCACACCCAGCTCGGCTGCAGCCTCCTCCATGGCCTGACCTTGGCACAAGAGCAGGGGGTAAATGGACCAGGGGGTGTGTGGGGCAGTGATGCCAACCCACAGAAGGGTCTGGGAGCCCCACAGGACGGGCATGAGCCTGGCACCATCTGTGCTGGAGAACCCAGACTTGCTGCCACAAGAACAAAGCAAAGCTCAGGTGTCAAATTATGGCCATGGATGAAAAATAATTCCCTGAATGCTTGAAATATAATCAGAGTGAAATCCCCCTGCTCTGCACCTCCACAGCATTGACTCCTGGGTGAGAAAGTACACTACAAAAGAAGAAGGAGACGGGGATGATATTGCAGCTTCACTGACAAAAATGGCAATTTTCTGCAACCAGCTCCACTCCAGCAGCAGCCCTGGCACAGCAACCACCAGCCCAGCAGCACCACAGGCACCTTGTTTCACTTTGACTTATCTGGCAATAAAACAAAGTGGTTTAATCACAGAATCCCAGACTGGCTCAGTCTGGAAAGCTAAAGGAGCAGGGATGGGGACAGTTCCTGCTCCCTGGCCACAGTGAACAACTGCTTGGACATGTGGGCATGAGGCAGAAGGCAGCACAAATGGGACTGGAGATGCAGTAAGAGGCAGAAATTGAAATAATTGTCTATCACAATGCTCCTCGCTCTCTACCCTGTCTGTGCCTGTTCCTGAGATTTGTCCTCTCCCTCCTCTGTGCCCCTCTCACTGCACCCCAATTCTGTGGCCCCAGCTGCCATGGGACCCACCACATGGGGAAGGGCACTGCTGAACCACCTCCAAGGCACTCATCGTCTCTGATACTGGGCTTAATAATTGCTATTTTTGAACATTTCAGCTTTCTTACCAGTTTTATTACTGCTAATAAAAACTGCAGCTTCATCACATGAGGAGCCCCACATCCCCCATCAGTGCAGCAGAGCACGTACACCCCAAAAACAGAAGTCAGAAACCACCCAAGACAGGCTCTTTCTTTACTTGACCGACTCAGTCCAAGTTCTGGTTTTAGTGTCAGAAATCTCCACAGCAAGACTGTGAGAAATATTTTTTTAGCTCATCTGATAAACATGCAAATCTTGATTATTCATACGTTACTTAAAATAAAAAACCCAGACAGAAAGAGATGAGACAAACCCCTGCAAGCAGGGCAGCCCAGCTTGGCAGGGGCAGCCAGAGGCCCTGGGCTGTGCCCCTGCTGGCTGTGGGTGCCCTGCTCTCAGCAGCACCAGACCCAGCAGGTCCCACCCTCTGCAGCACCCCTGGGGCAGCCAGGCCTCTCCCTCCAAACATCTGCTGCAGATGTGAGGCTTTCTCTCCATTCTTGTCTGGAATCTGGCTCAGTGGCACTGCAGCCTCAAGCAGCTCTTTTAGAGAGTAATGGGCACAAACCCTGGGCCTGGCTGCCCCATGGGCGCTCCTGGATCAGGGCAATGGGCACAGCTCCTCAATCAGGGCAATGGGCACTGCCAGATCAGGGCAATGCTCCTGGATTAGGGAAATGCTCCTGGGTCAGGGCAATGGGCACTCCTGGATCACTTTTAGAGAGTAATGGACACAAACCCTGGCCCTGGCTGCCCCATGGGCACTCGATCAGGGCAATGGGCACTCCTGGATCAGGGCACAGCTCCTGGGTCAGGGCAATGGGCACTCCTGGATCAGGATGCTGCTCCTGATCAGAGCAGGAGCTGCAGGACCAGCCCCAGAGGGATGCTGTGAGCCCACACCTGGGCTGGCTGTGCCTCTGCCCCCAGGATCCCCCAGGAACGGCACCAGGGTTGGGGAGCTCAGCAGGCTCCCGCTCCTCAGCTTCCTGCCCTTCTCTGAGATAATTTTTTTCCTATTAAATAACACTATGAGCTGTTTCTCTTCCTAAAATAGCACACACCACCACACACACTGTTTGTTTGGTTTGAATTCCTTCCCCACTAAAGCAGCACAAGCCCCACTGTAAACCTGACTCCACATCTCTACCCCGTCACCAGGGTTTTTCTTTAGATGGAAAACGCTGAAGCAATTACAGATTCCCTGCACATACAAAATCACCCACTTTGGGTGGGAAGGGACCTTAAAGCTCACCCATTTCCACTCCTTGCCATGGGCAGGGACACCTCCCACTATCCCAGGCTGCTCCAAGCCCCATCCACCCTGGCCTGGGACACTTCCAGGGACCCAGGGGCAGCCACAGCTGCTCTGGGCAATCCTGTCTGGCTGGTGGGTGCACCTGGAACCACAGGGCCTTGGCTTCAGGCTGCAAATGCAGAAGGTTGGAAACCAACACCTAAACCAGCCATTTGGTTTCTAACGGCCTTGCCAAGGACCCCATGGAGCAGACACAAGATCTGGTGACAAGAAGGCATCTGGAGTTGTGTTTAAGGCTATTTCAAGCATCATCTGTTATTTTTTCTTTTAAACAGATAACTTGGATTCTTGCAGATCTCCTCCTGAGCAGTTATCCCAATTAAGTCACTCCCCAGCTCTCCCAGCCCTGCTGCTCCTGCAGCACTGGTGCAAACAGCAAGGGCAGGTCCAACCCCGCAGCCTTGAGGCTGCCACAAACACCTGATGATGCTTTCACTTCTAAAACACTAATCAAAGGTTTCCATGGGAACCTGCAGGAGCAGGAAGAAGATGGGAAATTACAGGTCAGCTCTACCACCAAAAGAAAAAAAATTATCCCATTCCTTCGCCCTCGCAAAGTTTCAAGGTAACATAAAAATATTGATTCATAAGGGTGCAGAAAGGCAGAAAATACGCCCCAGAGCAGTCATTTGTTGCGTAAAGAAATCACTTTTAGTCCTTCAATGGCAGCTTTGCTCTGAAACCACGTGAGGAGCTTCAGCTCCACTCTGCCTCCTGGGCAGCCTGGGGAGCCAAACCCAGTGCAGGCCATCCAAAGCAACACAAGGCTCCCAGCAGGGAATGGGTTCCTGGTGCTGCCATGGGGCTGGGGCTGGCTGGGCAGCTCCTGTCCTTCATCCCTCCCTCCCTCATCCTCCCTCCCACCCCTCTCACTCTCTCGGCCCTCGGTTCACTCACACGCGGGTTTCCCGTTGCCAACCAGAAATGACTCAACACCACACACACACAAGGAAACTTTTCCACCACTATTAACTTTCAGAGGAAATGGAAAAAGGAGAGAAAAACACATCAGTCATAAACGTACTTTGCCAAATGGTTCATGAGCAAGTGCAGCATCTGCCTGTTTTTCTCCGGGAGCCGATGAACGAGGCTGTGGATCTCCGACACCCTGGACTCCTGATTCTCTAGCTCTGCATGGGGAACAGAAGATGATTTATCTCCACATTAGGGGGTTGTTATGGGAAGAGGCCTAACGCTGTCCCTGACAGACATCCCAGGGAGCTGCTCCATCCCACAGCCAGGCACTGCAGACAGCACGTGAGCAGCATGGCGAGCAGGGCAGGGCTGCCTGCAACCAGGGCGATTCCAGGGATGGGAATATGGGCACATCCCCGTGTTCAGTGCGCCCAGTGCAGGCCAGGCTGGAGCATCTGCTGCTCCACAGGCTGCTTGGATCCATGGTGCTAAGTGGGAGCTGCTGGAGGAGGCCAGCACTGCCATGGCCATGGGCCACAGGGCTCTCCTGACATCCCACTCCGATAATCCACAGCCTGCACAACTGCCAACAGAAAACCCCCTGCTCCCAGCAAAGCCCCTTCCCCTGGGCAGTGAAGGAGACACAACCCCGACATGTGAAGCAGCAGGGAGCCCCTCAAAGCCCCCCAGACCCCATGGTGCAGTTCAACAGCAGCCAATGGTCCCAGCCACAGGAGCTGCCACCAGCACCACTCCTGGCACTGCTCGCGCTCCCTCCTCCTCCTGTGTCACCCCCAACACCAGCCTGCCCCAGCTCCAGCCCTGCTCTGCTGGCCAGGACCAGCCCTGGGGAGGCAGCAGGGCAGGGGGTCACAGCCTCTGGCAGAGAGGCTCCTCTGTGGGAGCCACAAACACCAACAGACTCACTCGCTGCTTTGATGAAGCTCCTTTGAAACTGGTACATCATCAGGGGTCCTGGGAGCATTCTGGAAGATAAAAAGGAAACAGGCACAAAACACATCTGAGGAACACAATCCACACTGAGAAAGCTTTGTCCCTACAATAAACTCAGCTCCGTTTTGAAAAGGGCAGAATTAAGCAACACCAACTCTAATTAATTCCCCCATCAGAAGGAGTAAGATCTATGCAAGGACCTTTGATTTATTCACCACTAAATTAATCTTTAATTTTAGCATTCCTTCAGTAACACAGCTTCAGTGCATTGCTGAGCCCATGACTTCCAAGGAACTTTGAAAAGAAATTGAAAAGATAAACAAACCTAGCTGTAAAACTTTCCCAATCCCCATTCCCATTGTCCCCTCCCACTGCTGCATCCCTTCAGAGGGACACACTGGTGCTGCCCACATTCCTCTTTGCTTAGCCAACAGTTCAGACTCTGGAGCAAAGGTTGCCAATCATGCAAAATTCTATGATTTTCTAGGCTGAGATCCACCAGGCTAATTACCCTTATCACCCTAATTGGATTTAGGCTCTCTCTTGTGCTCCCTCAAACACAACCCTGCACACAACAGTCGCTGAGAGCGAGGAGCTGCGGTCACAACAGGTAGGAGCACGTTGTGGATAATGAGATGCTGCTGCCTGCCAACACCCAACACTGTTGGGAAGATCCCCAGGACGATACTGGCCCTCCTGACACACACAAATCAGAGCTACAATAAAGCTCAGCACCAGGTCTGGAGAAGCTCCTCAGCCCCTGCCCTTACACAGCACTGCCCTGCCCTTCTGCCACGTGCTCAGAAGGTGGAAGTCCACTGGGAAAAGCTCAGGGAAAAGCTTAAATCAAGGCAGGGGATGCAAGAATGAGCTTTTTAAATCATGTCTGTATAATATGTGCATCTGTCAGAGCTGAGCGTGTTCTCCAGATCCTACTCAAACATACTGGAAAGCCAGAGAAAAGCCGGGGAAAAGCCAGAACAAATTCCCTAAGAGCAGTTTCTGCTCTGTTTCTATAAAAGTGCTGTTGTTAAGGGTCTGCAATAGCAGGCAGTAAAATCCCAGGCCAGCACCAAACCCCTCCTGAAGCCAGGTGAGGCTCTTCTCCTTACCTCAGGTACGTTTTCAGTGCACTGGTAATGGTCTTGATCTCCCACTCTGCACAGATCTCTGTGTCTGTCTCTGTGGCTGTCTTGGGATCTAAGGAAAAAGACAAAAATCGGTAACTGAAGGAAACTGAAGACAGCTCCAGCTGGTGCCAGCTCAGCTGTGTGGGGAGACCATCACACCCCATTTTATTGCTGTTCCCAGCTCAGGACACGTCTGCAGGGGTGTGGGGCTGCAGGACAGGCCAGACTCAGCGACATGGGACAAGAGAAGGAAAAGGGAATCCTCCATCCTGAGCAAGGACAGGGCAGTGTGGCTTGGAGTGTGCCAGGACACCGGGCACAGCAGTGACAGCCAGGCACAGACTGGGGACCAGGGACCCTCCTCGCCACAATGGGCAGCACTGTCACCCTGCAGCCACCTCGCCACCCAGCCCTTGGCTGGCAAATACAGCCACAGCCACTGCAGAGCCACCTGGGTTAGGGTTGTCACCTGCAGAGTCACCTGCACAGCCACCACCAGGCCAGGGGCAGTGGGCTCAGGCACAGCACTGACACCCAGATGGTGACAGCTCCCAGCTGAGGCCAGGACCACCAAACTGAGGCCAGGAACCCCAACCAAGGCCAGGAGCACCAAACTGAAGCCAGGAGCTCCAAACTGAAGCCAGGAACACCAAACCAAGGCCAAGAGCACCAAACTGAAGCCAGGAACACCAAACCAAGGCCAAGAGCACCAAAAGGCAAGGCCAGGTACATCAAACCTAGGCCAGGAGTACCAAACCAAGGCCAGGAACACCAAGCCAAGCCCAGGAGTGCCAAAATGAGACCAGGAGAACCCAACCAAGGCCAGGAATACCAAACTGAGGCCAGGAACATCAAACCTAGGCCAGGAGAACCCAGACAAGGCCAGGAGCACCAAACCAAGGCCAGGAACACTCAACCAAGGCCAGGAACACTCAACCAAGGCCAGGAGCACCCAACCAAGGCCAGGAGCACCTAACCAAGGCCAGGAGCACCTAACCGAGGCCATGGAAAGCCCAGCACAGAAGTGCCCCATGTGCTGATCTCTCCTGCCTGGATGCTGCTCCACCAATGGTCTTTGCTGACTCCATCTGGAAACTCAACCAGGATCCTGCTCCCAGCTGAACCTCCCTGTGGGGTCCCTGGTGTGGGTGCCCCTGTGCCAGGTGTGCCTGAGTGCCAGGGCTGCCACTGTCCCCAAGGCCCAGGGTGACACAGCCCCAGCTGCTAACACCATCTGCTCCCACGGGCCCAGCTCAGGGCCTTTTTGCCTCTCCACACACACACATAATGCACCTTTGAGTTTTAAAGCCCCGGGTAAGCACTGGGCAATTTTTAACCTACTTAAAAGAATGCTGTGAATAGAGCTCAGCTTTCCCTCAGGGCAAAGGGTTTATTTTAATTTAAAAAAAAACATCAAGAGGCAGCTTGGAAAGGTAAATACATAAGAAATGCATATTCACACAAAGATCATGTGTGTCTCAGCAATCACACAAATGACCTCCATCTTCCTGACTCAGTGCCCAGGAAACTTCCTACAGCACTGCCTTTGCAAGGAGAGAATTTTAAGATAAGGAGTCAAGATAAGTTTGGCATAATAAAAAAAAAAAATAACAAAACCCCCCAGAAGTTTCATCTTTCTTTTTTTTTACAAGAAACTCTTTACCCAAAGCAGAACAAACAGTGTGTCTTTGCAAAGGCTCAGGCAGCAGTTTCTAGGCAGGATCACTGAACACGAGGTGAAATTCCACAGTCGGTCCCATGAAAGGGCTCAGAGCAGTTAATCAGCTCCCCTTGACCTTCACATTTATGAGGCTGCAAGGAGCTGCAGCAGCTGCAGCATCTGTCCCCAGGCAGGGGCTGTGCCAGCCCTGCCTCCCACAAGGACACACTTCCACAGGAACTGGGGCACGTGGAACCAGGGCTGGAAAAGCACCCACAGCCAGGGGCAGCACCAACCCTGCAGCTGCTTTACCCTGCTGCCAACCCTTGATCTGGTGTCTTTCACAGATTTCTCCAGGGTGAGGGGCACAGCACCTCATCACCCCAGTGGGATTATCACAGAAAGGCTTCCAAACAGCCTCAGGGATGGCAAATCCCAGCAGTGAGGGGCTGGAAGGAGCCCTACTCCCAGCTCTTATGGCAAAGGAGCAAGAGCAGATCAGATGCTGTAACTCACCCTCTGCAGAGCTCAGCCCTGCTGGGGCCCCACAGCGCCACAATAAACCCTCTCATGGGAGCTCCCACTGGTGAGAGTTTGGTTATTTGTGGGGTTTTGTCCCATTATTTGTCCTCATTTTGATGGCACGTGGTACCAGTGAATGCTGGGGAGAGGATATGCCCCCACCAGCCCTGGGAGCACCCCCAGTGCATCACCCCAATCCAAGATGTGCCCTGAAAGCCAAGCCAGGGGCTGGGGCTGCCCCTGGCCCAGCAGTGCCCTCCTGCAGGACCCCTGCCAAAGCCCTTCCCAGCAGTGCCCTGACAGCAGCTCAGGGAAACTCGATCTTTTTGCCATTTCAGCTGTATGTGCAGCAGCGAGGCTGCCCACATTCATTTCTAAATATAAGGGAAACCTGACAGTGGGAGCACAGCTTGGCTCCTCCATTCACGGGGAGCCCGAGGGCAGCGAGAACAGATGGGTTTGACAAGGGACACGTTTCCTGTGACACTGACTCCACTCACAGCCCAGACACCAGGGTGATGGAGATTTAATCCCCCACAATTTGGAGAAATTACAGAGTCATGGGTTTGCAAAGCACCCCAAGGATGGACAGACAGACACCACGGGGGATTCCCAAAAGGGGTCCCAGTGCCAGCCCTGACTGCCTCCAGCAGGGCTTCCAGCCCCAGCAGCCAAGGAGGACACACCAGGACAAAGGAAAAGCACCAGCCATTTATCACCTCCTTATGAGACACAGGGGCGACAGCTGAGTGGCTTCGGTGGCTGAGGAGATAATGGATGCTGGATGCTGTCCAGAACTGAATCGCTCCCAGCTCTGCAGAGCTCCTCACCCAGGCCAGTTCTGCCATCTGTCACAGCCTGGGGGCTGACACCAGCACTGGCACCTCTGTGACAGGAGAAGGGGTCCATGGCCCTGCCACCTGTGGGATGTGGTGATGGGCATCACTGAGGGCCTGCCTGTGACCTGCCAGGACCTGTCCCGGGGCACCAAGCCAGGCTGTTCCTGTCAGCAGCGCTCCTGGTGCTGTCCCCGTGCCCACCCTGTGCCACAGGACACTGCTGGCTCCCCGCAGCCCTGCAGGGCACCTTCACATCCCCAGCCTGTGCCAAACTCCTCTAATAACAGCACCAGCCTCCAGTCTCGTGACTGCAGTGAACTTTCCAAATGCCACAGGAGCAAAGAGGTGCCCTGCACCCCGATTTGGAGCTGTGCCCTCCCACTCCAGTCACCTGCATTATCTGTTTTCCACAGGTTAACACTGACAGCTGTGACAGCCACCGAGGGCTCTGCTCACTGAACACCTTAATGGTGGCAAAAGAAGGAATTGGAAAAGATGCTGAAACACAACAGATGAAAACCTTCTGCAAGAAGAAATATGCAGAGAAAGGGGCACTGGAGTTCTGTGAGGACAAGGAAAAGGAAATCATGTAGAAAAGGAAAGATAGTAAGTGAAGGGAAAGAAGATGACCAGAAATGCCAAACATTTTCCCAAGGAGTAACAAACACATTCAACAGGGCACTAACAAATTAGTGAGCATTTGTTTCCCTATTCCTGCAGCTATTTCATCTGTGCTTTTGCCAAGTCTGAGCAGCACCACACAGGATTGGCCAAGGGCAGCTGCCCTGCTCCAGCCCAGCTCTGCTCTCTCCTCCACTGCTGTGTCTCAGGCATGTCTGGACAGATGGACAGACTGGTCCAGGGCTGCAGCTGTGGGATGGAAATGCTGCCTGTGAGGTCAGGGCTGAAATGGCTCTGTCCCCACAGCCAGAGCAAAGCTCTGCTGTGCCAAGAGCCAGCAGCTTGGAGCATCCAGAACTGCAGAATCCAAGGCCTCAGTCACGGGGGAAACATGCTGGAAAACTCTGGGCAAGGCTGAGATAAACAGGCACAAGAAAGTCCGTGGGGAAACCAAGAACAGCCACAGGCAGCATGCAACATCCAGAGAAAATCATTTCAAAGGGTGCTGGGAACAAGGGGGCAGGTAGGAGATGAAAAGCCAAAGCTTTCAGCTATTTCTTTGAAGATTTTGGTTTGCATTTGGGAAGGCTGCCAGAGCTCAGAGCATGCGTGAGCAGGACACCAGTGACTGCAGCAGGGCCTGGTGAAGCCGGTCCCACACGAGTCCTGTCCTACCTTCACACCTGCCCACGGTGCCCAGCACCTCCTGGCCTCGAGCAGCACAGGGTCCTAAGGGCACAGTCACCACCATTAGGGACCCTGAGAGGAGCCCCTGCTCCTGCTTGGCAAGGCCTCAGAGCAGCACAGCCTTTACAAATTCCATCCACTCACCCATCAGGATGCTCAGCAGCTTCTGCACCCGCGAGTTCACCCCCACGATCCGGTAGAGCCCCTGCTCGTTGATCCCTGGGGAAACAAGGGACCTGTTAGCACAGGGTCACAAGGGCTGCTGACACTGCTTCCACTCCTTTGCCTTCTCAGACAGCAAAGCCCGTGAAACCCTCTCACCTATCAAACACAAAGCCACAGAAGATGGTAAAATTTGGGGTTGATATCAAGGTTTTCACGAATCCTTTCATTACCCCAGTTAGCCCAGGAACAAGGATCTGAGCACACTTTTCCTCCTTCCCACAGCCATGGCAGCCCCAAGCAGGATCTGCACTTAACCAGGGCAATGTGGGAAAACTTTACAGTGTCAAGTTCTTCAGGTTGAGGTCTGAGCCTTTTGCATCTGACCTGCCCCTGCAGGGCTGGGACAACCCCACCTGTGCACAAGGAGCCTCACAGAGGTTCTGGGGACACAATCCCACATGGGAGGACGTGCTTGGCAGCATTCCTGCAGGAAGGATGTTGAACACCTCCTTGGTCCTGTCCCAGGGTGTTATTGGCTCACCCTGCCCCATGTCTGGGAGTCCTGCTGGCCCAGCCGTGGGGCAAACGCCTCTCTCATCGGCCCCAGCACATCATGGGCTCATCTGATGTGGGTCCCAGGGATCATGAGTCATTCTGTCCATGAAAAGGGCAGGAAAGCAACTGCTCCCCTGCCAGCAGCTGCCCCAGAGCAAGCCCAGCCCGAGGCTGCCCTACCTCTGGTTTCCACAGCGTGGATGCACTTCTTGATGATGCTGAAGCCGATGCTGTCCAGCTGGGCAGCTGCAGGGAAGGGCAGAGAGCAGGGTGAGCAGCTGGCAGGGCAGGGCAGGCCCTCACAGGGAGCACCAGGCTCCTGCTGAACCATCCCAGCAATGCACCACTGCCCAGAGCAGCAGGAGATAAATGAGGCCAGAAAACACAAGTACAGCAGATTGTACCAGCTGTAACCCGGGCAAACACTGACACTGATCTGCATTCCAGCCTCCACACCCCTCTGAACCAAGCCCTGGGCTCTGCCAGGCAGCTACCACTGCAGATGGACAAAATTAATTTAGGATCAAGGTGAGATAACCCAAATTTGTCTGGAAAGTTGACAACGAGTGGCTTGGAAAGAAATGAAATTGGACATTTGGACACAACAAATCCCTGAAAATGGCACATGAAGTGTCTTGCCTTTGCCCAAGAGTGAGAGCTAAAAAATGAGAGTGAATGGGTTGTACAACTCAATTCACCTGTGCCAATGCAGGATTTCACTTCTAAGTTCAAGGAATTACTAATCCAGGGACCCCAACACCTGCTGGAAGAATTCACCCCACAGAGAGCTCTCCACCACTGCCTGGCAAACACTGCCCAGCTATTTGTTATGGAAAATTAGTTCCTCCCTAAAGAAAGGGTCGCAAAATCTTCCACAGGGGAGGGTAGGATGGGCAAAGCCACCCCGAGCTGCAGACCCCAGGAATGCTGTGATGGGAGAGGGCAAAGCCATTCCAGCCCCCAGGAATGCTGTGATGGGACAGACACAGCTCGGTCAGTGCAGAGCAGGCAGGGAGCAGAGCCCAGGCTGGCAGTGCCCTCTGCAAGGCACGTGCTGCTCCCCTCCCTGGCATTCCCTGCTTTTCCCCTGTCCCATGGGCAGCTGCCAGCTCCAGCCCCTCCTAATCCCTTGCTCTGAGCCCCGTGCTGGGGCTGGGCTTTGTCTGGTGAGTGGCACGGGGACCCACAGCAGTGCAAAGCAAAACAGCTCCATTCTGTTTGTCTGGGCAAGCAGGCTGCAGTGCTGAGCCAACACAAGCACAGAGTGCAGATGGCTGTGCCACAGCACGTGAGGACAATGCAGAGGCTGCAGGGCCCTTTGCTGGGCACCCTCAGGGCTCCCAGCGTGGATGCAGCACAAACCCAGCGTGCCATCCATCAGCAGGGCACAGCTGCCATTCCCAAAGCACTGACAAACACGAGGGTACCTGAGCAGCTCAAAGCCATGCTGTGGAAGCTGTCCTGCTGCAGCAAACCCAGCTCAGCAGGTCTGCTCAGCCCGGGCACGGGGTGACCCTGACCTGTGGGCATCCCTGTGTGGTGCTGGCACTCTGGATCACTGCCTCAGGCTCTGTGCCAGCCCACCCCACAGAGCAGCAGCTTTCCCTTAGCCCCTTGTGTGCTCGGGCCCCCAAGGCCAGGCTGGACAGGGCCTAGAGCAGCCTGGGATAGTGCAAGGTGTCCCTGCCCACAGCAGGAACTGGATGGGCTTTAAGGTCCTTTCCAGCCCAACCCATTCATGACTCCATCACCCTGCAGGGCCCAGCACCCCAGGGCCAGGCACGGCTGGCATCCCTCCCTGCAGCAGCAGCAGGAGGAGACCCAGCAGTGGCACTGGGTGAAGTCACCTGGCACAATCCCCCTGAGCAGAGGAACAGGCTCCTCCACTCACTGTCAACTCTGCATCAGGAAAAGCTGGGGATTTATCTGCAGTAGTTATATCCAGAAATAATATCTGATTAAGTTTCCAAAGTGTCTTTATTCATCCTTAAACTGAACTTCTAATGAGCATTGTAAAAGCTTGGCTCCCCCTCTCTCAGAGCATCTGCTCTTTATCCCAGCCATTTACCACATGACTCAGTTCAGCAATGGCCCAGACCAAAGGCAGATCTGGACCTGCTGCTGTCCAGATCACAGATCCATGGAA